TGGACTATAAGTAAGTCTAACCCATTGTAAGATATTATTTGACTATAAGTAAGTCTAACCCACTGTAAGATATTTCTGGACAATAAGTTAGTCTTGCCCATTATTTTTTTTGTGACTAAGTGTAAATCTAATCCATTTTTTGTGTGTGACTATGAGTAAGTCTAACACATCTTAAGATATGTTTGGACAATAAGTTAGTCTAACCACCATAAGATATTTTTGGACAATAAGTATGTCTAACCCATTGTAAGATATCATTGGACTATAAATAAGTCTAACTCATTATAAGATATTATTGGACTATGAGTTAGTCTAACCCACTGAAAGATATTTTTGGACAAGAAGTAAGTCTAACCCACCATAAGATATTTTTGGACAAGAAGTAAGTCTAACCCTCCATAAGATATTATTGGACTATGAGTTAGTCTAACCCACTGTAAGATATTTTGGACAAGAAGTAAGTCTAACCCACTTTAAGATATTTTTGGACAATAAGTTAGTCTAACCCACTGTAAGATATTTTTGGACAAGAAGTAAGTCTAACCCACCATAAGATATTATTGGACTATAAGTAAGTCTTACCCATTGTAAGATATTTTTGGACAAGAAGTAAGTCTAACCCACCATAAGATATTATTGGACTATAAGTAAGTCTTACCCATTGTAAGATATTATTGGACAAGAAGTAAGTCTAACCCACCATAAGATATTATTGGACTATAAGTAAGTCTTACCCATTGTAAGATATTATTGGACTATAAGTAAGTCTAACCCACTGTAAGATATTTTGGACAAGAAGTAAGTCTAACCCACTGTAAGATATTTTTGGACAATAAGTTAGTCTAACCCATTATAAGATATTTTTGGACAATAAGTTAGTCTAACCCACCATAAGATATTATTGGACTATAAGTAAGTCTAACCCACTGTAAGATATTTCTGGACAATAAGTAAGTCTTGCCCATTGTTTTTAATTTGTGACTATGAGTTAATCTAATCCATTGGTTTCTTTTGTGACTATGAGTAAGTCTAACACATCCTAAGATATTTTTGGACAATAAGTTAGTCTAACCCACCATAAGATATTATTGGACTATAAGTAAGTCTAACCCACTGTAAGATATTTCTGGACAATAAGTAAGTCTTGCCCATTGTTTTTAATTTGTGACTATGAGTTAATCTAATCCATTGGTTTCTTTTGTGACTATGAGTAAGTCTAACACATCCTAAGATATTTTTGGACAATAAGTTAGTCTAACCCACCATTAGATATTTTTGGACAATAAGTAAGTCTTGACCATTATTTTTTTGTGACTAAGTGCAAATCTAATCCATTTTTTGTGTGTGACTATGAGTAAGTCTAACACATCGTAAGATATTCTTGGACAATAAGTTAGTCTAACCCACCATTAGATATTTTTGGACAATAAGTAAGTCTAACCCACCATAAGATATTTTTCGACAATAAGTATGTCTAACCCAGTATAAGATATTATTGGACTATAAGTAAGTCTAACCCACTGTAAGATATTTTTGGACAAGAAGTAAGTCTAACCCATTGTAAGATATTTTTGGACAATAAGTTAGTCTAACCCATTGTAAGATATTTTTGGACAATAAGTTAGTCTAACCCACCATAAGATATTATTGAACTATAAGTAAGTCTAACCCACTGTAAGATATTTCTGGACAATAAGTAAGTCTTGCCCATTGTTTTTTTTTGTGACTATGAGTGAATCTAATCCATTGGGTTTTTTTTGTGACTATGAGTAAGTCTAACACATCGTAAGATATTTTTGGACAATAAGTTAGTCTAACCCACCATAAGATATTTTTGGAAAATAAGTATGTCTAACCCATTGTAAGATATTATTGGACTATAAGTATGTCTAACCCATTGTAAGATATTATTGGACAATAAGTAAGTCTAACCCATTGTAAGATATTATTGGACTATAAGTAAGTCTTGACCATTTTGTTTTTGTGACTATGAGTAAGTCTAATCCAATTTTTGTGTGTGACTATGAGTAAGTCTAACACATCGTAAGATATTTTTGGACTATGAGTATACTATGAGTAAGTCGGACTTTTAGCAAGATATTTGTGGATTATATGCAAGCTCAAACATTTGTTACATTTATTGAGTTTAGTGACATAAGGATCACAGGTGTTTTAGCATTGCAAAATACGAAATTCATTATCACTATTTATTGATATTAGTGTTTGCGTTTCAGACATTATTGGTTGTTTCGGTTCTGGTTCATTAGTAAAAATAACACTGACAAATGGTGTTCTATTGCACTATATGCAGTGAGAGCCTGGTCTGAGGTCGATAGTGTACGGCACCTTACTAACTCGGTGGCCGTCAGATTGATTAGTAAAGGAAAAATCATTATTGAAACAATGTTCCAGATATCGCGGGCTAACATATTTCATGATATGACCGTTCAGGTAAAAATTCCATAACGATTTTTTACAATTTGCTTTTCATAAGTAGCAAATTTCAGAACGCTTATTGAAGCAATCGTTGTTTAGTCGGTGTTTTGTGACGTGTAAGTGTGAGATCAAAGGTAGTTTGTATGTGTGATGTACGTGTGTGATGACAGAAAGTTTGTATGTGTGATGTACATGTGTGATCACAGGTAGTTTCTATGTGTGTGATCACAGGTAGTTTGTATGTGAGGTATACGTGTGTGATCACAGGTAGTTTGTATGTGTTGTAAGTGTGTGATGACAGTTAGTTTGTATGTGTGATGTACGTGTGTGATGACAGAAAGTTTGTATGTGTGATGTACGTGTATTATGACAGGTAGTTTGTATGTAGGGTGTACGTGTGTGACACAAGTAGTTTGTATGTGGGTGTACCTGTGTGATTACAGGTAGTTTGTATGTATGTTAGGTGTACGTGTATGATCACAGGTAGTTTGTATGTGGGGTGTACGTGTGTGACACAGGTAGTTTATATGTGAGGTGTACGTGTGTAATCACAGGTAGTTTGCATGTGTAATGTACGTGTGTGATCACAGGTAGTTTGTATGTGGGGTGTAACTCTGTGATTACAGGTAGTTTGTATGTAAGGTGTACGTGTATGATCACAGGTAGTTTGTATGTGAGGTGTACGTGAGTGATCACAGGTAGTTTGTATGTGGGGTGTACGTGTGTGACACAGGTAGTTTATATGTGAGGTGTACGTGTGTAATCACAGGTAGTTTGCATGTGTAATGTACGTGTGTGATCACAGGTGGTTTGTATGTGTGATGTACGTGTGTGATCACAGGTAGTTTGTATGTGAGGTGTAACTCTGTGATTACAGGTAGTTTGTATGTGAGGTGTACGTGTATGATCACAGATAGTTTGTATGTGAGGTGTACGTGTGTGATCACAGGTAGTTTGTATGTGAGGTGTACGTGAGTGATCACAGGTAGTTTGCATGTGTGATGTACGTGTGTGATCACAGGTAGTTTGTATGTGTGATGTACGTGTGTGATCACATGTAGTTTGTATGTGAGGTGTACGTGAGTGATCACAGGTAGTTTGTATGTGTGGTGTAAGTGTGTGATCACAGGTAGTTTGTGTGTGTGATGTACGTGTGTGATCACAGGTAGTTTGCATGTGTGATGTACGTGTGTGATCACAGGTAGTTTGTATGTGTGATGTACGTGTGTGATCACAAGAAGTTTGCATGTGTGATGTACGTGTGTGATCACAGGTAGTTTGCATGTGTGATGTACGTGTGTGATCAGAGGTAGTTTGTATGTGTGGTGTACGTGTGTTATCACAGGTAGTTTGTATGTGTGATGTACGTGTGTGATCACAGGTAGTTTGTATGTGGGGTGTGCGTGTGTGATTACAGGTAGTTTGTATGTGGGGTGTACGTGTGTGATCACAGGCAGTTTGTATGTGAGGTGTACGTGAGTGATCACAGGTAGTTTGTATGTGGGGTGTGCGTGTGTGATCACAGGTAGTTTGTATGTGTGGTGTAAGTGTGTTATCACAGGTAGTTTGTATGTGTGATGTACGTGTGTGACCACAGGTAGTTTGTATGTGGGGTGTACGTGTGTGATCACAGGTAGTTTGTATGTGTGGTGTAAGTGTGTGATCACAGGTAGTTGGTATGTGTGATGTACATGTGTGATCACAGGTAGTTTGTATGTGGGGTGTACGTGTGTGATCACAGGTAGTTTGTATGTGGGGTGTGCGTGTGTGATCACAGGTAGTTTGTATGTGGGGTGTGCGGGTGTGATTACAGGTAGTTTGTATGTGGGGTGTACGTGTGAGATCACAGGTAGTTTGTATGTGGGGTGTGCGTGGGTGATTACAGGTAGTTTGTATGTGTGATGTACATGTGTGATCACAGGTAGTTTGTATGTGGGGCGTGCGTGTGTGATTACAGGTAGTTTGTATGTGTGATGTACGTGAGAATGTTATACAGAAACAGGTGTCCTGTATCATGCCAGCCATGCATTGTTAATGCACAATTACCAGACCTGGACTGGACACAGCGGCCCTCTTTAATGATGATTAGGTGTTACGTACTAAACAATTCAATTGTAGTCAGCACGTGTTGTCTACAATCGTGCAATATATATCCAATGTTGATTAAAAACGGAAGTAATTATTCTGTCGTATATCATCAAAGTAGTGATTACAAATAACTAGAAAGAATTTCCATTAGTTGAGATAAAGGAGGCAGAATGACTTGTATCAGTCAGGATGGGGGGTCTGGTACTGACGGGGTATTATGGAATAGACTCTACATGACAAGAAGTGAATTATTAGGAAAGCTTACTTTTGATTATTGAAGATTGATACAATGATGATAGTTTGAAAAGAAGTTTCAACTGTAAATATTTGCTTATTCCTAACACCTACTGTAAACATAGGGTTTAACATATGGACATCTTCTAGTTTTTGTTCTTAGTGTTTGGTTCTGTGTGGAGTTAAATACCACTTATTGTTTATCTTATCGTCCTATTTTAAAGTATGAATTGTTATTACAGAGACCTCCGTCCACCAACTCAGGACTATAGCCACCAAGACAGTTTATTCGGGGTGAGTGTTTGAACAATATTGAATTATATCGTTAAGATTACAATCCAAAACACCTTCGTCAATTTAGCACAAGATCTCAAACAGGCCTGTATCGTTCAGCTGTTCTTCCTCTCACATCTGTGACTTACCAAGAGAGAACATGCCAACCTGATATACAAATGTTAAGGTTCGATACTCTTTACATTACGGGTCACTTTTGAATATTTTATAACCTGGAAATGTGTACCCTCTGAATCTTTGTTGGCAGATTTTAACATCTTCACCTTAAATGCTGGTCATGGTCATTCATTCAGATACCCCACTTTCATAGCACTTCACACCATTAAGCTGTAGGCCAACTTTCATGACCCTAGGTATCTTGGTTATTCAGAAGAATTCGTTTAAAGGTATAAACACATTTTACCCTTGATACTTTGAAAATGTGCCGAGTCTCATTAGTTGGAACAATCATGATAGTCATTCGTCCAAGCATGCTACTGACAAAATATCACCGCCCTTGTCCTCCTCGTGGTTCAGAAGAAACCGTTTACAGTTTTAATCATATTTGACCACTCTAACCTTAAATAGGAGTGAAGGTCGTTTATTTAGACAAACTTGATAACCCTTAATCACAGCATGCATCTCGCAAAATATCATCACTTTTCATTTCTTGGATATTCAGATAAAGCCATTTCAATGTTCAAATACAATTGACCCATGTGACCCTAAAAATGGATCAAGGTCATTTGTTCGAACAAAATTGATAGCCCTTTATTCCAGCAAGCTTCTCACCAAATGTCATGACCCTCTTTGTTACTTAGATGAAGTCGTTTAAAATCGCAAACACATTTGGCCCCTGTGACCTTGAATATGGGTGAATAATATGCACTTAAACAAATTGTTGGCTCTCCATCCCAGCATGCCACTGGCCAATCATTATCGTCACTCTAACTCTAGGTCCCGTAGTTATACAGAAGAAGTTGTGTCTAAAGTACAACGGTTGACGACGAATGATCTCCTGCTAGAATAATGTATGGGTTTTAACTTTTATTTACATTAAATCTTTATATGTACTCACTCTCCCATTGTCATAGGAAACTTTAACGTCGTCTGTGAACAGTCATTTTAAATCCACATTCTACGTATAATTTATTTTCCCCTCACAGAGCTTTTATAAACAGGTCTAGCACCTATTTAATATGTTTAAATCCCGTACTAATCTAGCAGTGAAATGGGATTATACTGTTTTGACCAAACGACTTGTTGTCTCACTTTTACTGTATACTTAACCACGAAGGTGTGTGGAGCAATATATACCTAATTGATTTACAGAAATGTTAGTCTACAAATCCCTAATACCACGTACCCCCAGTATACGTATTGTCTTCGAAAATATACCCCCAACAGTGTACAATTATGAAGAGGAAAAACTAATTTGTTTTTATTAAGAACTGCAAATGTTTGGAATAGCTTACCTAAAAATGTAGTATGTGCTAACAATTTAAACCGTTTCAAAATTGAACTGGATAAACACTGGGATAACATTGATTCATTATATAACTTCAAAGCTAGTGTTGCGACAATTACAAATCTTTTTATTATAACAATTCTCGTGTATTGAGTCTGGTGTAGAGGGTATGAAATTCTGTACCAGAAATATATCATTAAATACGATTTTGAGCAAGAGACACTTCCAGAGTGTTCATTAGAGCGACAGGGGTCGGCAATATTTACTAGTGTTTTCAATACATAAAACGGTTTAGTCTCACCTAACATACATTTCTAATTTGGTTATAGTCTGTTTCAAAATTATGTAGATGGTATTGTAATACCACGGACTTACATAACAATCTAATCTAATTCCGTGGTAATACATATTATAATAAAGAACTTATGTCTACTTTAATCAGAGAAATATTCCATTTTCTTTGTATTACGTGGCAGTAGATGAAATATGAATATTAAAAAACAAAATGGATACATTTAGTTAACCTGAAAATAACGATCTTACAGATATTATAACAGGTACAGTACTAGCCGCCTACATGTTATTAAAATCTTAAATTATTGTTGATTAAGTAAAGCCTCATTAACTAATCTTAATATCAAAGATTGTTTAAAATTTTGTAATGCATTGTCTATAAATTTCAACTAATACAATAACAGTTGACTGAATGTTGTTTTTATATTTCCTTTATGTTATAGTTATGTCTGCAAAATTTCAATCTCAAGCTGATTTTGTGTGGACATACACTGTAGATAGGAAAAATAATTATAATTTTCACTTATCATAATATCACAAATGTCAATATTGTCAACATTTATTCAAAGCTTGGGCTGTTGGCTCTTATATGTGGTACATGATGTACAAAAACGATGTATAGAGATGATGTACATAATACACAATATAATCAACTAAGAGGTTTTGATAGTTTCAAAGATAAACTTCCTTAATATACATATACATAACTGTTTACTATTTTTCACACTTAACAACTGAATAGTTGGAAAACCGCACTCTTAGATTTTGAAATTTATTACAAATTAACAGAAGCAAAATTCAAGCAAGTATTTAATCTACTGAGACATACATGTATTCTATACTTAACAGGAATATACTTCGTAAGATAAAATTGAAGAAAACAAATCGTACCATATACCGCCATAAAGTTTTGGTTAATGTGGTATAAACGGAATAGTAAAATTTTAATGAAACTACTTTGAATATGTGTTTACTATATTATACTGCATAAATAATGGAGTAATGTGTACAATATGATGTACAGTTAACGTGAAATGACCCTTCGTTGTCATTTTAAATGATTACATTATTAGCTTACCTGGCCCGAAGGGCCAAGTGAGCTTATGGCATGGGCCGTCGTCCGTCCGTCCGTCGTCATCTTTTTACTTTAAACAACTTCTTCTCAGTAACCAAAAGGCCTAGGGTGATGATATTTGGCCAGAAGCATGCTTGGATGAAGGGCTACCAAGTTTGTTCAAATAAATGACCTTCATCAATTTTCAAGGTCACAGGGGTAAAATATTTTAAAATCTTTAAACAACTTCTTCTGAATAACCAAGAGCCCTAGGATGATGATATTTGGCCAGTAACATGCTGGAATGAAGGACTACCAAGTTCAAATGAATGATCTTGACATATATATTTTAAGGTTACAGGGGTCAAATATGTTTAAAACCATTGAATGACTTCTTTTCTTAATAAGCAAAAGGCCAAGGGTGATGATATTTGGCCATTAACATGCTGGGATGAAGGACTACCAAGTGAATTATCTTTGCCCATATTCAAGGTCACAGTGGTCAATATATGTTTAAATCTTTAAATGAATTGTTCTGTATAACCAGAAGGTCCAGGTTAATGATATTTTTCCAGAAGCATGCTGGGTTGGAAGACTATAAACTCTGTTCAACCTAATATTATAATGTCCTTGTTCGACATTCAAGGTCACAGGTGTCATATGCTTAAATCTTTTAATAGGTTCTTATGAATGAAACACTGATATTTTGCCTGTAGCTGTATTTTAGTCCACTTTTAAGATTACAAGAGTGAGATTAATACCAGGTGAGCGATGCAGGCCCATTGGGCCTCTTGTATTAATGGAATACTAGTAACTCGGGCTGAACTTATATATTTTTGAAACATTCATTGAAAACAAGCTTACATGAGCAATTTATTCAACAATGGTATAAGGATGGTACAACCTTGACCAGAGAAATAATAATAAAGCGTGCCGCTACTTCTTCGATACCGGAAGAAATGTGACCAATGTTGCCACAAGTGGCGATCTTGGTTGGAGTTCCTGTGACGTCGAACAGAAATTGGAGGTCTGTAGGCTTTGATTAAGGATTAATGGAACCGCTCACGATATACTAGTCTATAAAATACATTAGTGGTCAAAAGGAAAACGGAGAAGTTGAGAATGTCGTGTAAACAAATTTAAGTTAAAAGTCGAAACCGGTCGGTATTCTCGTCCAGTTACACCTTAACAATATCGACTTTGGACGCTGCTTAATATCATGTTTCGCATGTTTAGCTTTATATAATTATGTACAGTGCTAGTGATGTTACTTATTTTAAGGTGTGATAATGACTTTTAGTGTCTCATAAGCCAGATTTGGCTGGATGTCGATAACTGATCGATTTAAATTTTGCAATACATGTAGCTATTACTTTTTTTGTAAAATCTGCTGTAGTTTCAATGTATATCGATATGTGACACTTAAATAAAACAAATTGTATTGTATTGTAATACTATGTAAAGTTAGGACATTTCATCTGATATTCTCTATTATTATGATGAAGACTATAATAGATGAAGTGGAAACAATTTTATAAATAAATAAAATTGTGCACCAAAAATCAATCCTATGTATACGTTCATATTCACATGGTAAGACACTTTATAGTACAGACTATAGTTTACCTGTAATTAAATCCTATTGTTCTCTAACTGACACCAAATCTCACCAAGCATACATCCAACACCTTACCTGTATATAGGAAAATACCAAGTGTATGGTAGGTGAGACGACACCAATAAAACAGTGATCTCTTTTTCTCGCTAACTTTACCTGTGTCCACTTTGACCTGATGACAACAAACTAATCTCTTTAAATATAAGTTATATGGGAAGAATAAAATCTGAATTTGAAGTATTGCTGGCCTCAATTTCATTGACATTTGTAAAGTAAGATGATTATTTTAAGTTTCCCAAGAGGAAAGCATTATTGGAGCATTGAAGTTAAAGAAAAATCTTCATTCAAAGACAATTTCTGAACTTTCATTCAACTTTCATGGAGCATCTAAAGTTAACGAATTTTCATAAGTTAAGGGACGTTTGTGAAACAAGGACTAGATTATTTGGTACATGGTATCTAATTGATTGTCAAAAGTGTTATAAACAACGAGAAACTAGTTCCTTATAAACATGATGTATACCGTTATCAACATTCATAAAAGAAATCAATAGGAATCTTTGAGAGAACAAAAATCAATTCTGCACCGTTCACAATATTTTACAGACTTAAATACCCTATCAAGCTGCACGTACAAGTAATCCTTTTTATTACATCGCTCCCACAACTTAAATACTCCGAGCTTTGGCCTCCTTCACTTTCATTAATCTCTGCCAGGTTGTGATTGTCGAATGTGATCAATCCTGTGTATTGATTAGATTAAAACTCCAGGTAACAAGTATAGGTTTTAGCTTACCCCTATTTTAATCCGTCCTGTACCTGATATATTTGTTCAATTATGTGCACATTGCTTGTTAAATGTATGAAAGTGATTGCAAGCCTTTGTTATTTGTTTTCACGATTATAACCATTACTATTATCCATATGATGTAAAGCGCCTTAGAGTAATTTTACAAATTATATAGGGCGCTATATAAATGTTGTATATTATTATTATTATTATTATTATTATATGACAACCATTATAAGTAATCACGTTTCTTGAGAAGGGGAAATACAAGGTATCTTGCCAAAGCAAACAACAAATAAAATAAGTCTGTTTTTATATTGATACGTTATAAAGTATATCATTGTAAGCTCGTATCATATATGCCTTCAGGATACATCTACATCTGATCAAACGATGAAACGGTAGAATTCAATATCAAATGTAATTTAGGATTAAGACAAGTAGCGTGATAATACAGATTTAATCTGAAAAAATAGGGTTTCAATTCCTTGTTATATCTTAAATCCTTAATTTTAAAGTTGCAAAATTTCAAGAATCTTTTTTAAACTCTATTCTTACATTCAAATTGCTTAACAGTTCTTAAATTTTACAACAACAATATTCTCCATATCAACATTTCCGCATGACATTAAACCTTGGAATCACCTCATAACGGGTTTAAATTGTGTCCCCGTGTGGATTAACTTACCGATATTTACCAAGTGTGCAGCTTCACAGTCATATTTTATCAAATAGGATTTAATAATACCACGGCATGTCACCGTGGGACACTTACTTTATATACTTTATATGCATTTTTGTATCTTAAACCATTTATTTCTATTGTGTGATTGGTATTTTTCTAAATAAAGACACCAAATCTGCTCTGCGTATTAAATGAGCTTTGTGTAGCATTGCAATGGTGGACTTAGCTTTATTCTCTCTTCTTTTACCTTCGTGTATCAAATATCTTCATAGATACAACCATCCCTTGCAAAGTCTACAAATATCAATACTTCAACATTTCCCTTAAGGTTATAGTTTGCTTTACAAATTTTGGAGAATAAAAATGATGCGTCCGTTTCAATTTGTCATACTAATCATATGGTTCCACTCCGACTGCTTTTCCTTTAGCGGCAATTCGTTTGTCTTCCTCCAAGTAGAAACACAACTAGCCAGGAGGAAATCATTCCAGGAATGCCACAATTCTCGAGTTTATGGATTAGGCGTTGTGAGAAGCTTTCATAAATCAAATACCATCAACACATCTACCTTTATCAAATATATCTGTCCATTAGTCTTAACAAGTTGCAGAACCATAGATTAGCTATCACTGCACTTTGCTGATTTTTTCACCTGGTTCATAATATGACTCGCAGTTAATGATAATTGTTGTCATCCTTCATTGCTACAGTGCATTGGAAATAGTGAGTTCCATTTGGTATATGTAAGAGAAAAAAATGCGCATGAAATATGATCTTCCTCAGATTAAAGTCGTATAGTTATTTCAACGTATTTTTTTCATGAGAAAGAATCCTCTTCGTCTCGAATTATATCGTTATATTGTATCAATACGTTTCACTTTACTATTAAAACAACGATTTGTCAGTTTGATTTATATTTCTTTGCTTCAGAATGCATTTTCATCAAGATCCAATTTCATCGTCCACCCCGAATGGCTGTCTGAGAATGTCGACCCTCCCCTATCGCGACCGATGAATCGCCCTCCTTGGCCATGGGAGCAGCCGAAGTACCGCCAGAACATCAAACTATCCCAACTTAATGGCAATGACACTTCAAACGTTAACAAAGCAGATCAAAACCGAACAGGAAACGAAAAAGCAAATGAAACTGAGCATGTTGGTGGACAAGGATGTGAGGTTCAGGAAAACGGATACCTACCGGTACCCAAGTATCCTCCAAGTCTGTACAGTTTTGGACAAAACTCAGCCTATATGGACGCTAATGGAAGTACAGTTGAATATAACTGACCCATTTGACATTTAGATAAAATAACAAATCTCAGCATGGTTATGTCATCCACGCAAGAATTGACCATTAAACTTAGACTAGCATGACAGAAACATTACAAAAGCGTTGCTCAACAGGGACTTTTATATGAAGCCTATTGCAAGACAACTAAGAAGTGTGAAGTTATAAATTGTATCAAGTAACTTATACCCGTTTCCTCAGTAAGTCTGTTCCACATGTATTTACAGAAAACATAAGTAACATAAACACCCCTTCAGTATGTGGTCCTATCAGTTGATTACATTCGCTAATGACCTGTTAATAATGAGCTACGTGTCATCATGAAGCTACTAAAGACAAACAAGGGGCATGAAATCAGCATGTACCTGTATGCAGTAGATAAGCTTTAGTTTTAGGGAATTCAAACACACATGTTTCTTGATTTCATTTATAGGTTTATTTTAAAACAGTACATCATGAAGGTAGAAATAATATTGTGGAAATAGAGTCTAAATATTCATTATTTAAACAAAGAGTAGTGCTAGCTAAATCACGATTTAGACCGATCTCTAAAGAGATTTATTCCAGTACTTGCCGTGGGGTGAAGTTTTTATTTGACCATATACGTTGAGCCCACCATACCTTAAAATTATACCAGACTTGCTGTGATCGTTTTGATGACATTTTATATAAAAAAAATCACGGTAAATGTTGAAAACTATTTCTTATACCAATCAGTATTGTTGTGTTTTTCTGTGCGTTGTTCATCCCTTTTCTGGACTACGTATGTTTATGCCGATGTTTTACTACTATTTACTACTAGTCCGCCATCTCACTACGAAACCAAGTCTTTTATTTAAGTAATAACTTCCGGTTATCATGTGTTATTACCACTTATAGGCGAGTAGACATGTTGACTACTTTCTCGATTGCTATCATAGCTTTAGTTGAATTAGCGTTGGATTTAGACGACTAACGTGGCTTTGTGGTTATGATACCTGATTATCCAGGTGAGTTGTTACCTTTCTACCTATACCAGTTGTGTGCGTTTTATGTTTATATGCTTTGTTTCCCTGTGTTTCTATATAGACTTTATGATAAAATATGTCAGTGTTAGTTTCCGTGTTGTTTATTACAAATCAAAACCAAGGTACTTAATTAGGTATACGTAGCCATGCAACTTTCCATTGTTTATGATTATTGTCATTAAATATAAATAATATAAAGATATTTATGGTTATGAAACATTTCAATGTTAATAATTATAGACAGTTATGGTGTTGATACCAGTTTGTATATCGTTAAATATCAATTTTGAAACTTAATGTTATTTATCATGCTATCATTCAGAATGAAATTCTGACAGCGTTTCTCAGTAAAGCTGTTTTGTGATATACTGTTAGCATGTTGAAGAATGACAGTCACTGATTAGACAGATTACATGACGAATGGAGAGCTACACTTGTATATGTATTTAGTACTATTGAGGCATCCCATCACAAAAAAAACAACACGTATATATATATAGAAGTCATAGTTATACTGATGTGAAGACATGTTGATTATTTTTTCTGTCTATCATGACACCATACTGTTGTAATTTCTAAGTTAAGTGATATCGGCTATGACCGAGATATTTACCTTTTCTACAGATCTTAGAACAGAAAACATTTTACACTTTTTGTTTTGACATTGTTGGCTTTTCTTCGATTTGCTTTATATTTGATGGTTAAAGTTCTGTTTTCGTTGTTAGCTTATTGCTCTGTTGGACTGTGACACCGTATGCTTATTGTTGTCCCCATTGCTCATTAAACAGTATTAAAGTGGTACTGCCACATGTTAACGAGTATTATGTTTGGTGAAATGTTGTACTTTGTAATTATTCAACTATTTATTCGAAAACAAATAGAAATATAGTAAATTATATATATTTACATTTTTGAGTGTTGTTTTTTTAGCTCTTCTTCTCAACCAATAGGAGGATTTTGACCAAATTTGCTCTGGAGCATCTTTGGACAAAGGAGCCTCAAGTTTGTATAAACGGAGGGTGTGGCCCCTCTGGGGGCATGGGGGGATTTAAACCAAATGCAGTCTGAAGCATGTTTAGGGACAAAAGAATCAATTTTGTATAAACTGAGGTGTGTGGACCGCCTTCTTTGGGGCAGATGAGTGGGGCCCATTAGGGGAAATAGAGGAAAACATTAAAGATCCTTCTCCTTCTGTACCGTTGAAGGGATTTTAACCAGACTTGTTCTAGAGAATCTTTGGGCAAAGTGAATTGAATATTGATAAATGGAAAATACCAGGTGAGCTATTAAGGCCCCTGGGCCTCTTGTTTGTTTTAACTATGTGATTTAGCATAACAATAGAACCTCGTTAATCTGGAAATATGTCCCAGGTCTCTTTCCAGATAGTTACATTTTAAACTGTTTAAATTTTAAAAAAGACATGTTATTGATAATGATAAATTTATTATTCTATATATATATTGTGGACAAGAAAGTTGCTCAACTAAACGAGATTCTATTGTATCGTACTTTTGTGACGGTTTCTGATACTGCTGAAGTAATGTGGAAAATGGCACAGTTTTTAAACAAGAGGCCCAATGGGTTTGCATCGCTCACCTGGTATTAATCTCACACTTGTTATCTTAAAAGTGGACTAAAATACAGCTACAGGCAGAATATCAGTATTTGATTCATAAGAACCTATTAAAACATTTAAACATATGACGCCTGTGACCTTGAATGTCACAACAAGGACATAAGGTTGAACAGAGTTTATAGTCTTCCAACCCATTTACTTATTAAGAAGTCGTTTTAAGGTTTTTAACATATTTGACCCCTGTGACCTTGAATATATGTCAAGGTCAATCATTTGAACAAAGTTGGTAGCCTTTCATCCCAGCATGTTACTGGCATTATCCTAGGCCTCTTGGTTATTCAGAAGAAGTTGTTTAAAGGTTGAAAACATATTTGACACCTGTGACCTTGAAAGTGGGTCAGTCATTCATTTGAACAAATTCATTCATGCTACAGGCCCAATATCAGTACCCTGGGCCTTTTGGTTATTGAGAAGTTGTTGTTTGAATATTTGAAGACATTTGACCCCCGTGACCTTGAAAGTGGGTCAAAGTAATTCATTTGAACAAACTTGGTAGCCCTTAATCCCAGCATGCTACTGGCCAAATATCATCACCCTAGGCTTTTTGGTTATTCAGAAGAAGTTGTTTAAAGGTTTAAAACATATTTGACACCTGGGACCTTGAAAGTGGGTCAAGGTCATTCATTTGAACAAGCTTGGTAGCCCTTCATCCAAGCATGCTACAGGTCCAATATCAGTACCCTGAGGCTTTTGGTTATTGAGAAGTTGTTGTTTGAAGATTTGAAGACATTTGACCCCTGTGACCTTGAAAGTGGGTCTAGGTCATTCATTTGAACAAACTTGGTAGCCCTTAATCCCAGCATGCTACTGGCCAAATATCATCACCCTAGGCTTTTTGGATATTCAGAAGAAGTTGTTTAAAGTAAAATATTGACGCCGGACGGACGCCGCACCACGGCATCAGCTCACTTGGGCCTTCGGGCCAGGTGAGCTAAAAACGCCAATCCTTCGAGATACAGCAATAGAGAGCATCCTGTTCATGTGTATCAATCAAGATTAAATTGTATGCAAAGGTAGATGTATAGTAACAAGAGGCCCAATGGGCCTGCATCGCTCACCTGGTATTTATCTCACAATTGTAACCTTAAAAGAGGACTAAAATAAAGATACAGGAAAAATATCAGCGTCTTGACTTAAAGTTTAAAGTAATTCAGAAACAAGAGGCCCAGAGGGCCTGTTTCGCTCACCTGTTTCTTTTGTTACATGCAACTGACATATTGGTAACTTAAGACCAAATTTGGTAACTAGAACAGAAGACATTTTAACATCTCTTAAACGGTTCTGAAGATATTGTTGTTTGAAACTTGAAATTTTAATGTTAAATCTTTTAACTCATATTGATCTTTTACTCCCGACTTGCACTTAAATTTGACCTTTGACCTCATTACTGTAATAAAGAAAACAATTCACACAGCTGGTCTACATAACATACTCAAGTATCATGACTCTAGTCCAAATGGTTCTTAGGATATTGTTGTTTGAAGTTTTAAACATAATTGATACCAGTGACCTTGGAAGTAGGTCAAGGTCATTTTAATGAGGAAAATTTATAACACTTCATCCCAGGTACCTACTGGCCAAATATCATGACCCTGAGCCTTATGGAAATTGAAAAGAAGATTGTTAAAGCCTTTGACTCATGTTGACCTCTGACCCCAACTTGCACTTAAAGTTGACCTGTGACATCATTACTGTAATTGAGAAAAAGATTTGCACTGATGGTCTACATAACATACCCAAGTATCATAACTCTAGTCCAAATGGTTCTTAGGAAATTGTTGTTTGAAGTTTTTAACATATTTAATCGCTGTGACCTTGAAAGTAGGTCAAGGTCATTTTAATGAGGAAACTTTATAGCACTCCATCTTAGATACCAACTGGCCAAATATCATCACCCTGGGCCTTATGGAACTTGAGAAGAAGATTGTTTAAGCTTTTAATCAAAGTTGACATTTGACCCCCGACTAGCATTTAAAGTTGACCTTTGACATCATAACTGTGACCGAGAAATTATTTGCACTGCTGGTCTACATAACATACCAAAGTATCATGACTCTAGTCCAAATGGTTCTTAGGATATTGTTGTTTGAAGTTTTTAACATATTTAACCGCTGTGACCTTGAAAGTAGGTCAAGGTCATTTTAATGAGGAAACTTTATAGCACTCCATCTTAGGTACCAACTGGCCAAATATCATGACCCTGGGCCTTATGGAACTTGAGAAGAAGATTGTTAAAGATTTTAACCAAAGTTGACATTTGAACCCCCCACTAGCATTTAAAGTTGACCTTTGACCTCATAACTGTAACTGAGAAAAATATT